AACTGAATCTGAGTGGATATGATTTCGGACCACTCAACAGAATCGCGGAGTACAATGGTTATTAGACCACTCAAAGAAATCCAAGGTAGGGTACGATTCCGGACCACTCAACGAAATCGTGGATCATAGGGGATTTCGGACCACTCAACAAAATCCAGATGGAGTAAGGAACCGGACCATTCAATGGAACCCCAGCATATACTCAGTTCTGGATCACTCAACAGAACCAAGCGGAGGGCTAAGGAACATATCAACAGCTTAAAGAAACAAATCATGAATTAAGTGCTCAATTTACAATGGCTCAACGAAATGAAACAAAGCACAAGTATTAAATTATAATGGTCAACGAATCGAGAAATGAAATAATGAAATGGAATGTGAAACAAGTTTCAAAGCAACAAACCACATGGAAATGGGGTCCACCACTGGCCCTCACATTTCATCACATTATACCAATCATGCAAATCAAACCACATCTCAAATATGCCCACATTTCACAAATATCATCAGTACACAAGCCAAATCATGTTTAATAAACATAGGTCAATGGCTAAATATATATAAAAATCACATTTAAATAGAAATCACATTTATAAAACCAATTCATATTCACAAATGATACTAATATAAGAAATCAAGGTAATAACCATATCACATATATTCAAGTCACTCTCTAACCATACTAGGCCCACTAGGCTTCACTTAAGTCTCCCGTAGTACTAATTTTAGTATTTAGAACATTTCGAGACATGTTGACTAAAAGTGAACGGTAGGGTCCACAACCCTTCGTAATTCGATCTGAAAGATCTGCACATTATATTTTGGATCTGTAACTTCCTAAGGTCCTCATTGTGCTCATAGAACAACATACTAAAATCTCATCACGATCCAACAGTCGGATCTCCGCCAATCTCAAATTCAAGTGGTGGTCAACAATTAGTTTTACAAACTTAGAAATCCAATTCAGGAAGATCTGTATGTCGGATTTTCGATCTGTTAGTTTCAACTATCCTCAAATATTATGTTCTATAATGTATTAAAGTTTGATGACGATCTAACGGTCGGATCATCGATTTATATGTTGACCAAGTGGCAGTCTCTAACAAAACTATGTTCAAACGACGAGATTTCATCAATCGTACATCACATATAGAATTGGGGTATCCAAATTATCCTAGGAAGGGCAAGTGGGGTCTCAGCCCACGCGCCGCCATACGCAGCAACCGGCCGACCCTACTCGCCTGTAAAATTCAACTATTTCCAAAAATTACCAAATTTCACATAAATGTAGATCTCGATGAATAGAGCAAGTTATATACTTGTGGCCAAGTCCAATTTGGCCGGGAAAAGCTTCAATTTCCCTCGAACCCTGTCGAAAACCCTAAAAATGGGTGGCTTTGATCCGTCACCTCCGGTGCTCTGCCATACCTATAGTTGTTCGGGTTTTGTTCTAGGCCTGAAGGGGAGTCGATTATGGGTGGTGGTTGAAGGTGGCAGTTGCAGAAACGATGAATTACCGCCAAGAACTTGCCGGTTTCACCCAAATCAAGACCAAATTCTCCAAATTTTGGGGTGTAATTGGTAGAGGGAAGGTCGTGGAGTCGAGTGCAGGTGGTGGCGACAATCGATTTGCTGGGAAAAGGCCAAAATCAGCGTTGGAAAATCTTGCAGGGTGTCGGGTCAAAACTGGGTCAGGTTTAGGGAAAATTCCCCTTGGTTTGCTGATTCTCTCCTCCCCTCCTTTCTCTCTTTTCCTCCTGCCTCATTGGTCCCTTCTCTTCCTCTCTCCTGCTCTCATTGGCTGCGTGTTTTTCCTTCTCCAGTGATGCAGGATGGGAAATAAAAGATTCATTTGGCATGGAGCACAATAAATTATTGGAAGACGGATTTATGTGTTGGAATAAAAATGGTGGTTTAATACATATTGGTTGATCAATTTACTTCCAGGACGTTTTATGTCTGATATCATTACTTTAGTTATGTAATTTTCAATTTTATGTCAATTTAATCATATTGTCTTTCAATTTCTAAATGTAAGTTACCAAATGGTTATAAAAACCATCTCTTTCTGTAGGATGAAGAAGTTGGACGTTGTTGATTAATGAAATTACTCAGGGTGTTCCTCTGTTTCAGTTTTGTGCCTTTCTCTTTGTGAGATTGTTCTGCTTTGTTCTTCTAGTTGTCTATGTTGTAGGATGGTACTCGAACCAAAGTTTATAGGGTTTTCAGTTTTACGTGTTTTTATATTTGTTGCCTTTTTAATTTTTGAATGTAAGTTACAAAATGGTTATAAAAACCATTTCTTTATGTAAAATGAAAAGTTGGACGTTTTTGTTGGTGAATGAAATATTTAGAGATTTATATCTCATATTTATGCCTTTCTCTTGTTTAAGAGTATGTTGCTTTGTTCTTTCTAGTGTCTACGTTGTAGGCTGGTACTAAAACCAAAGTTATACCAAAGTTTATAAGGTTTTCAGCCTCTCCTCGCACTAGGAGATAGTGGACCCTACCTATCAATCCTATTTTTCGTTTTATTTTGTTCCTATCCGCTGCGCCCTGAATCATCCAGTCACAGCCTTCCACATGTCTTACAAGTGACAGGAAAGCTCCCAATTTTTCTAGAGCCTTTCAGCAAATGGAACAAAATTACCATTTTAACCCTAACTTTGTTCGTTAATAACTCCTTTGTTATAACTCTGTTTCACGAATGGTTTACGCTTACACGTTCGTGAGATCAAACTCTATTCGAAAATATAAATTGTGACCTCGAAAGGTCTACGGATTTTAGATAATTAATTTCCAAACTTCAAACTTTGTAACTAGTTTAATTAAAATCTAAATTCAAATAAATGAGGATAAATTCTCGAAAAATAATATAAAATCTCAATAATACAAATATGTAGATTATAACAGTGAAATCCAAGAACAAGATTTCACAATGCGGCTAGCATTTAGTAGACCGGTGACGTCAACTTGACTTCATTAAAATTTCTATAATACGTAGCATGTCCCATATTTGTTTGCCACAAAATTAGTTTGAAAATTAGCTCAATAGCTGGCTTTTGGAGTTGCACTTTAATTTAGCTTTTTGCCACTAGAGCTTGTCTTAACCCCAAATAATCAAACCCCAAACGGGCATAGTTACAAGAAAGAATTTGTGTTACTTCTTGCAGGAGTATTTCACACTATTGATAATTTCAAGGTAAAATTATGAGACTAACTCCAACCCTTGGAGTAAGTCTTAAGATTTACCTTTTATTCTCTCCCCTCTCCCCACCCCCTCTCCTCCTCCCAAATTTCCTTCCAACCTTTGGGCCAATTTGGGGTTATAAGTTAGAAGCTAAAATTGGACCAAATACCGGGCAGAAAAGTGGACTGGGTTAGTGGTGTGCCCCACATGTGAGAGTGGAAAACCGAAGGTGAAACCCATTCGCCTAGGCCCACTCACGCACATACTGGCACTCGCCAACCACTAGAGTGGTCGGACTCCACTCACGTGGGCTTGTTTCCTGCTTGTATAGTGCATTAATGAGCCTAACGATTATTTTTTTCTGATCCTACGGCCATAATTCAAATGGAGTGTTGGTTGATCCAATGGCCTAAGTTTAAATTTCTTTTTCTTTTTTTTTTTAGTTTTATATTTATAATTTATTAAATCCAACTGCTGAGATCGAATGTGATCAAATCTAATGGTACAAAAAGAAAGTTCTAAGGGCCCAAATTTAAATCTAGTGGCTAAAATAATTTTAAAAAAAATTATTTAACTCAAACTTCACCCAAAACTCTATAAATACCTAAGTATTTGTTCAAACATCCACACAAAACTCACTTTTCTCCTACAATTGTTCCAATTTTTCTTTCAATCATCTTCCAAAACCATTTCTAAATTTTCAAGATGGCAAAAGATCATATTAGAGGTCGTAATTGGTCATTTGCCAATTCTTCCATAGTGTTTCATGAGTTTCATGTGTCGGCTTAGTGATTTTTCAATACTTATCAGAATTTAAATATTTTTAGGTTAAAATGTTCATAAAATTAATTTAGGATGGTCTACATAATTTTTTTTAAGTTAATTTAAAATAAATTAGCCTAAATTCATTGTTTAATAATTGGGTTTAAAATTTTAACCATAAGGGTTGGAGGAGAAGAGTTGTTTCTGAGTTAAAACCTAAATTTTTTGGGCTAAAAATCTTAGATTTTAACCAAGGGCTGGAGATAGTTTAAGAGGGGAAGAATATGATTTTATGGAATAATTATTTGCGTTTTGACTACAATACTACACTTAGACCTACTCCAACTCTTGGAGTAAAACTTAAATTTTAAGTTTTAAACCTACCCCAAGTTACCCTAACCCTTGGGCTAAATTTGAGTTTTATCCTGAAACTCATTTTTGGGATAAATTTAGCCCATAATTCGCTCCGAGTTAGTGGGTTGGTTCACTATATATGTGGATTTTTTTTAGTTTTATATTTATATAAGTTCATTGAATCCAACAATTAAGATCTAATATGATCAAATCTAACGGTAAATAAAAAGATATAGCGGTCCAAATTTAAATCCAACGCCTAAAATAATTAAAAAAAAATCTTTCTTGTGTTTCATATTTTTTCTTAGTGTTTCACGAGTTTCATATTTTTTCTTAGTGTTTCACGAGTTTCATAATATCCGTTTAGTGATTTTTTAATATTTATCGGAATCTAAATATTTTTAGGTTAAAATGCTCATAAAATTAAATTAGGATAATCTAAATTCATTCTTCTAAATTTTTTGGGTTTTAACCCTAGAGTTGAAGATAGTCTAAGAGGGTGGGGGTGTGTACTACTTCTCACAATGGATTATTCCTCTCACTTACCGTAAAAAAAAAAAAATATCACTAGATTGTAATACTAATGACATATAATTATTATATTAAATACATATACTTGTATGAATTATATATGATTGTAAGATGATTGTATTACTTCTAATGCTTGACAATTTGACAATTTAAGACCCCAAACCCGAACACACCCCATACAAGGCCCATTTCTCTTTCTGTCTTCTCGCTCGCTAGCTCGCTTTCTCGCTGTCTCCCACATCTTGCTCGCTTCTCCAACACGCAGAGAGACGGGTAAGTAAACCTCCATCTCCCTTTATCATTTTCTCTGTTTTTTGGTACAAATTCGCATGTGGGTTTTTGCTATTTCTGACGTTTTCTTTTGATTTCGAATGCATGTGGATTTCCGCCATTGTTATTTTCGGAATTTTCATTTGGGTACCAGAGGAAATAAATAAATAAAACTCTGATAGTTGCTAATAATTCTGTATTTCGGGTCGCAATTTTCATTTGTGATTCACCTGCAACTACCTCCGCCACTAAATCACAACTGCCAGACGGCCACCACCGTTAGACCTCCACTCGAACAAACATCAACACCCAGTTCGAACCCAATCGAACCACCAACACAAACCCCAGGTATACCCAATTGAACAACCATCGCCGCCTATGAGATTTTTCGCAAGTGCCTGCTTTTCTATGAGATTTTTCGAGTTGCCTTGTAGGATTCAATTATTTGAGAATTCTGTATTAACTATTATCCCTTTCTGTTCAAGCATTGTGCCTCTGTTTTATAAATATTCCGAGTTTTCGGTGTGTTTTAAGTAATTGTTCCGGCTTTGACTAGATGTCGATAAGTGCATCATAAGCAAATTAAAGTAGTTTGAATGTATCATTTTATTGATTTGTTCAAAAATAGTGAAAGTTGATGAATTGAAGGGTGCGAACCGCTGTTATTTGTGGAGGAATCCGTGTGCTCTTTTTAATCTGGTCCGGTGCACATTGATTCGTAGTGTGCTGCTCTTATTCTTCTGTTCTGTGTCTAATGAAAAGAAAGTTGATGTGCTCTTCATTCGGTTCTCAGATATTATTTTGTAGCTCATATCAGAGACAAACCCCAACTGTTCTAACCTCTGTAGTCACGGAACACAGTTGAAGATGGCAAGGCGTCTAATTGCAACCCTCAATCGTGGCCTAGTTGGCAAACTCTTCTCGGAGTCCTCTACCAAGGTAACACTACCTTGTTTCTTGTGTATATGTTTATGGATTTGATGCCATTGCGCAGCCCTAACAGTGGTATGTGATGGCTTGTTGGTGCTGTATGGTTTGGGCCATTTGGTATAGCTGGACTCAGGAAAGCCGATGGTTGCGGGAATGTGTGGACTGGACAAAGCAGGTTACAGTACCCAAGCCAAGCAAGAGTATGTTTATTTTACAATGTTGCTATTTTTTTTTTTTGCCATGAATATATTTTACCATGGTTTATGTTTCAATTTTTATGTCCTTTTTGGCTACTATGCGGTCACCATGGTCGTGTTTGCGTGTCTGCTTTTACATTTTTATTGGGAATTTTCCTCTTTTCTGACATAAGGTATTTGTTATTTTGTTGGATTTGGCTTCTGAGCAGATCTCATTTTTACGATGGTGCTTTTGTGGATGCATTCCTGATGAAAATGAAGAACAACAAAGATCTTCTTAACAATAAGAAAATTTGGTCACGCAGATCTACTATTTTGCCAGAATTCGTGGGTACTACAGTCCGTATCTATAATGGAAAAAATCATATTCGCTGCAAGATCACCGAAGAGAAGGTTGGTCATAAATTTGGAGAGTTTGCAATGACACGGAAACGAAGAGTTCAGGCTAAAACTACTGCACCAGTAAGACCAGTGAAACCAGGAAAAAAAGCAGGCAAAAAGTAAAAGGCCTACGGTGAAATTCATAACATATCGGATTCTGTTTCATTCAGGTGAATTCTGATACACATGAATGATCTGGTCGGATTCTTTTTTCGAGCGAAGAATTGTGTTTGATTTTGATTCTAGTCTGTTTTAATGAAGTGTTGAAAGTTTCTTAGTCGATGTTTCTGTTTGCTAATCCTTTTGCTCGAGTGAAGCAACCTTCATGGCTTGTTAGGTTTATTATTTGATGCGCTAGCGCAGCTTCATGAATTATTGAGAAAGGTGTGCTCAAAGATCGTGGTTTGGTGTCGTCAAATGAATTGCTGAACGCTGTTCATGTATATCGTGTCGGAATAAATCGAAGGGAGTTTTAACGAAAAGCTTACGGTACCGTTCACTTTAACGAAAAATCATATTTTTACATTAAAAAGTCAATCATGGTATTATTTACTTTATCCTTTATTTTGTCCTTATCATTAAAACTCAAAGTTTTCAAATTTTTTTTATTAGTTTTCCTTAAATCTAAATCTAGGAAGTTTTAACGAAAAATCCATGTAAATCTAGGGAGTTTTCCTAGATCTAATGGCAGTAGTAGATTTTCCACGTGAGTTCGGCTAGGGCGGGAAGAGACGGGGCTGAGATATAGAACAAGCTGGGTGTGGGTTACAGATTCAATCCTATGTTCTCCCAAGGGGATGGAAATGTAATTTTATCCCAGCACGATGTTTGGTAAAATTAAAAGTAACTAAGAAATAAAATGTCAAAATTGACATACACAATTCTTTAGTCATCTCCAAGGAGACAGTTAAAAAGCTAAAAAAAGATTTAATTTGCTCAAAAACACATCTTCTAACCGATCGCTGGGTTATAATACTATTAAGCCTATAAGATCATTATTTAGCCAAAGAGACATCGGGTTGGCTAGCCGAATAAAGCTCCTCTCTTAGCCCTTTATTCTTTTTGAACCGAAGAAATAGCTTAATTCATTAATAAGAGAGACACAATTACAAGAAGGGTGTCAACATTGAACTGAAGAGAATAAGCGCACAACAAGCAAACATAATAAATCTCTTACATGACAACTACAATAAATAAAGAACACACAACAACCAATTAAAGGTGGCAGATTCAAAACTGAGGAACACACAGATCCACTGCTAAAAAACAAGGCCACACAAACCGGTAGGTAGCACAAATACACACAAAACACAAATAAGCTGAGAAGAAAATCACCGTCAACTTAACTCCACAGCGACAAAAAAGGGCACCATTCGCAATATCACCGAATCCGTTGCATTCGTTACTAATCTAGCCATGGAAGACGATTCAGCCACAGATATTGGACATAAGTCCATGACCATCCTTAGATGAAGATAGGTCTACAACAGTCATGGCTCAAGCAAGATGGATTGACTCGAATCTAGTAATTAAAGACGTCTCAGCCACTAAAACAGCCGAGGATCGGAGCACACAACCATCATTAAAACTATGTTGTATAAAGCAATTTCGACCCACCACAACCACAACCACAATGTCGATCCAAACTCACTGATCTATCCCGAAACAGAGCGAAGAAATGGATTTGAGAAGGCACTTTGAAAACATGGAGGGTTGCTCACAAAATAGTGTGAAAATTTATCCCAATAATTTCAATTTTCCCCTTTCTTCTGTTGAATCCTCCCCACCTACCAAAAACAAAAGAGCTCATGTCAAAACAAGTTTTCCAAGTTGTTCGGAGATGATGGGAAAGCGCATGAGAAGAGCTTTGGGATATTTGTGAATAGTTTCTATGAGTCTATCAAATGGCTTGAAGTGAAGAAACGTAATTATAGCTAAAAAAGATGGACAATGGGAAAGTAGAAATCGATTACTTGAATAATCAGGTATAATTAGCGATTCCAAGGCATCATTTCAATGCGAATTGATACATAATCCATTCCCTGTAACATTGTATACGTACTCTTTTATTTTTTTGTTTATTCATACAACATATATTCCATGTGATGAGTAGCACACAATTTCAATTCATATATTGAAAACAACAATATATGCAGGATAATAAGGCTCCTTGGAATATATTATCGAGGCAACACTCTTGTTTTCGGTTGATCAGAGAGGAGATCACCAGTGACGGTAGGGTGGATGGTTGTGAGATTTTTTGTTTTTGGAAGGTGGGGTGGGGTGGGGTGGATTCAACAAAAGAAAGGGTAACACTGGAATTGTTGGGATAAATTTTAATTGTGGGTTGTTTTCAACAATTCTTGGAGCGTCAATAAAACAACCTTTCTTTAAATACTCATATTAGCAATTTATTATTATGTTTATTTTAAGTATGTTGTTAATGACACCCCAAAAATTTAATTTAGAAAGAAAAATGTTTTTATGAGAAGTGCACAATTATGTGAAAAAACAAAAAAGGACATATAACTGAAAAAAAATAACACTTGTTTAATGCTAGGTAGACTATCTATTTAAATTTTATTTTATAAACTATATGATGTGATTGTTGATAATTGAATTATTAAGACAAATGTAAGAGATACTATCTCAAAGTGGGACTCTCCATAAGCTCTTTGTCACCTCATGTTTTTGACACAATATTATATATTATTGGCACGTGAATTGTGCCAAAAATATGAGATGGCGGAGAGTCCACGGAGAGTTCCACTTTTAAGAGGGTCTTCATAGCATTACTCTATTGCTTAAGTGTTAATTAACGTGCTTATTTTTTATTGGTGACAACCTGACATCAAATAACTTGCAAATATGGTTTAAAAAGTTGGTATACCTAACATTACTCGTAACATTTTTATCTAAACCCACCACAAATCCTAACCTATGCTCAGAACGAACATCACATGGCCATTGGAGAATTTTCACAAATGGCCGTTTGGTATAGAAGTTGGTAGTCGCGAAACATTCAGTTGGACAAGTAAAAGAGGTTCGGTTGACAGAGGGCAAAGGGGATGAAAATTTTCTGCGAAATACTCAAATTCCCAACTTCTGATTTAAAAAATTAGCCTTTTTCTACAAAGTCTCTTAAAATTGGAATTGAAATACTCGAATCGTTAGTATTTTCACAGTCTAGCTCTCTGTTTGAAAGAAGAAAATAAATCTAGAATTTGTACGAAATTCAAAAATTTTAAATTAACATGCATTGATTTTTTTTTTTGAATTTATAAACATAGAATTTTAGAATTTTTGTGTTGAAAAAAAAGTAAAGAATTGAAATCTCAAATTCTCAAGTTTAAATTCATGTAAATAGTTGTCATTTCTAAATTTCATAAATAAGAGTTTAAAACAAATAAAAAACAATAAAAACTCAACCATGATTGCAGCCACCACCACCACCCACCACCATTATCACCGTCGCCGCTGCCACCACCCACTAGCATCCTCACCAATGCCACCACTATCACTCACCATCATCCTCCTTGCCACCACCACACCACTCACCACTATCATCGATGCTACCGCACCGGCACCACTACTCACCATAATTTCCACCACCCATCATCATCACTACCACCCACTACCACAAACCATCATCACTGCCAACGCTACCAACACCCACCATCATCATTGCTGCCGCCCACAATCTTCACTGTCGTAGCCACCACCACCACTAGCACATTTCCCAACTGCTATGTCTTATTTATATATTAAACTTAGCATTTAAATCTCATTCTAATTTTAGGTTAGTCAAATAAGAAATTTCACAAATTTTGAAAAATAATTTCATCATTTTAATTTCCATGATTTTAAATTTCATCATTCAAATGCAATGTAAATGAATTTGAATCAAAATTTACCCCAATGCAGGCATTCGAACATCTATAATTTTAGTTATTTAATTATTCTAAATTCATTAAAAAAGATTTAGTGTTGTAGAGATTTAATGAAAATATATTAGTGTGCTCAGATTTTTTTTATTATCAACTTAGTTATTCATTAGATTTGAACTTAAAAAAACTCCTACAAGCGAAGAGGAACATAGCCGACATCACCTACTGTCCCATGGTAAGCAAAAAATGTCAGAGCTCCACAATTTGAGCTGTTTAATATCTAACAGTTCGGAGATCGAATAACTTAGGATTTTCAGAATTTTAAAAGTTTAAACTAAAGAAAAAATACAAAAATATGTTTAAAGCGTGAAGAGAGACATAGATCAACCGCTTATTATTTTTGCAGTTTTTAATTAAACAGCTAGTCAGGTTTGGTTTTGTTAGGCTAGACTAGACACATGTGCACCTAAATTTTACTTCGACGTTGAGCAAAGGGATCGGTTGGTCCAGAAAGGCATGGGAGTCTTTTGGCATATTTCATAAGCGATTTCAATTATTTTTATTTTTCTATTTGAATAGAAATTTCCCTTTCCAATATCTAATATAAAGCCCTTTATCTTTGTATTCATTCGCCAAATCTTGTTATGCTCCATCCAAGCTTAGTTTTATCTAAGAAGCATCTTGAAATTACTTGTCATGGGCTTATGCGATGAAGAATGATTTGCTTAGGAAAAAAGAATCTTGTGCTTATGGGTCGTTTCAATTTTCCAAGACTAGAGAAAGGGATTTTCGACTGAATAGGTGGCTTGAGTTATGATGCTGACAAAGATTCTTGTGTTACGATTTATAAAAACTGATCCTTTTTTTTCATTCCCACATCAAAAAATTAACCTAAACACTATAAAAAGATTATACAAATTTCTCCTTTTGTGAGTAGTTAAAAAAAATAACAATCCAAACTTAAACAAATTTAATTATGCATTTACATAAAAAAAAAATTCATAAATAGTAATGACAATTTTTAGACGAGTAGAGTTGCAATAGGCAAGGTACTATTCAGAGTGACGAGAATTGTCATCCCGCTTCCCTTATCCTTTGTCATGGTATAAATTAATGGGTGAAATTGCAGAATTGGAAGGAAATAAAAATGAATGGAGTAGATATAGAGAGTGAATGAACTCGCTATGACCTGTAAAAACAAAATCTCAAAAAATAATGAAAATTGTTTTTGCAAGCGGAGGGAGGGAGGTATATGAAGGCCACGTAGGTCATCACTATCAAGACATGCAAGAAGTGGGAAAAGGTATCTGTCAGCGTCAACTCTCAAGTCTTATCAACCAACCTGACGCTTCAAGTTCCGGCTTCTCTCTCACTCTCAAATCTCATTC